TCCAGGTGTTTCATGGGTATTCGTGATAACAATCCCATATATAAAGTTCTGAGTGAACTGTTAATATAGTGCATGAGTACTTTGTGCACAGAACCCAATCCATTTGTGCAGTTTCTGGATGCTAGAACATAATAGGTGTATTACACATCCAAAGGTCCTGATTATAGCAAGGAGAAAAACAAAGGGGAACTTAATATGTCATAAAAACCAAAAACTAACAAGGAGTGCATGATCATCAACCAAAAGAAATGATTAAAGAAACAATCTAATGGCCAGAATCACCAAGACTATAACTCCTATGACATCAGGTGGATTGGGGATTTCAACAGCCCTTAGCTCAAATGTCACAGCCAAACTGTTTAATTTCAGGCTTCAAAGTGTGTGTGAACAAACCAGTGTGCGATTTCATCTTACCTACATCCATCTTTTATATGGGTCTATATAACCAAGCTGACCTTTTTGAGCCTTTGGGTTGGACTGCACCTCCAGTACCACGGTGGTGACAGCATCAGCATACATGTCATTTAGAGGGTTAGCTATCCACTGAAACAGCAGATAAAGACAAATTAATAAAACACAAGTCCCAAGCTGTCTCTGAGCATCACAACGTACACTCCCTTTAAAAATCTGTGGCTAGGAGCAGAAATAACCAATCATAAAGTTGTCCCTTAGATTTTATATGGCTACAAAGGAGAGTGATCCAGTCAATAGTCTGCACCGAACCAAACCCAGGATTGTAGTTCACTGGACACATGCACGTGGAAAGCAGCAGAAAACATAAATGAGTAGTTGCTATTACGTGGCACACTGGTGCAGTGTTCACCTTCTTACCTTGTTAAAAGGATTATTAGAGTGTTTCAGTGATATCAAACCCTGTGTCTATCCTCTAAAGAAATACATTTAGGACTCCCAGTTTTGCACACTGGTGTGAAAAGCACAGCGCTACGTTGTGGGCTCTCACCTCTAGCAGCACCATGCCGGCCTCTTGGATTAGAGTGATGTTTTTAAAGATCTTCAAAGTGTTCTTCTCAGTTCCGTCCAGCTCTTCAACATCACCTGAGAAAGACGGTCACCACTACGGGGTAAAAATCACTCACACGCTGACAAAACTCAAAAGGTTGCAGTACGTGTCAAACTGCAACAATGTGGGCAGTTGTGTTTTTTTGTTTCTTTTTATGAGTTTGGATGGTCTCAGACAGTCTACTGATGCATGTAGAGATGGTCATCGAGATTCCCACAGAAATGGTCACGCAGTCTTACCTGTGAGATTCCTCAGATGGCAGACAAGCAGTGAGTAGGGTCCAGTGAAGGGGATGGCCTGGGTCTGTTTCACTGTACTCATGGCCAGCTCTGTGTACGCTGCAGAACAGACAGATCAGGTCAGTACAGCTCCGAGAGGAGGAATGTTTCATTCATTCATTCATAGTCTACTTTGGTTTAGTTTTGAGGCCAAATACCCCAAAACAATGACAGAGCCATGGAGCATCAACGCTACTAAAATGCTTTGGTGGCCCTGTTCTCCATCTGGGGACAATGAAAGTGAACTTACTGGAAAGGTCAGAGGGATTGAGGATGTGGTAGTTGAAATTCTTCTTCACCAGTATGCCTGATACCCTTTGACCCTGAACACACTTCTTATCAGCCAGTGAGCCCATCACCTGAGAAGAGAAGTGTATTCATTTTCAGTGGATTTGTCATTTTTAACAGTGTCATTAAAAAGCATATGCACAATTCGGCGACTGCTGATCACAAAAAGCGTACTGCACCTTAGCCAGCTTCTCTCCTCTGAAGTTCAGCGTGACAGCCTCAGTGTTGCGAGGGTTGTGGACTTCGATGTGAACTTCGTCGTTATCCTCGTACTCTCTGATCAGCGCGGCTTTCAGGCGCGCCATCTCATTCTGCTCCCCATGTACCAGGATCTGAAATTAAACATGTGCAACATTTTATGCAAAGGACAAAAAAAGATGAGTCAAGAGAACTGTGAATTTCACCACACTGCTTTCTTCTCATACCACATGTGGCGGTTTGAGGGCTCTGATGAACTCGCTGGTCTGCTGGTAATCAGTGTGGGCGGAGAAGGAGATGTAGTCCACCGACATCTTTAGCTGCAGCTTCTGTCCCGACATGGTGGTGATCTCCTCGGGCTCAGACATGATGTGCTGTAGAGTGTGCACAGCGGGAAATAACTGAGGACTGATTTTACAATTATCTTCTTGATAAATCATTTAGTCAGTGAAATGATTTAGAAAATAGAATCATTAGAAAATGGCACGTAAATTGCTTTTAGATCCTTCAGTTTGATTGCTTTGCCAAATTAATGACCTAAAAACTTCACATGTTCGATTCATTTTTATTAGAGAAAATGAACAAAGAACACTGAAAACTTTTTTTCCTTCTTCTTGTGGCAACTTAATTTCTTTTCTTTAAAAAATGAGTAATTCCTGTCTTTTGTCACAGCTTCTGAGTTTTAAATTTGATGGCTTGAAAATTGCTGTAAATAACAGCAATCTGGTGCAACTGAATCAGCATATCGATTATTAGATCACAGCATCTTTTCCCACTTTGCTAAGAATTTTTTTTTTCTGTCCCGCTGTGCTCTAACCTTGGCGAGTGTGCCCTCCACGCAGTAACCGGCTATGATAACTCCATTCCTCTTGTCGGTGCACCAGCTCTCAAAGAGCTCCCTGGAGAGCCCGCTCTGCATCATGCCCGGAGACGCCATCACCACGCTGGGGCCAATATCATCAAAGTGATCCATGCTCTGGAAAGAATAGACAGTGCTGCTTTATTTTGGAGAGAGGCAGTCAAGCCTGAGAATATGCACAGGGTTTCTGTGACAGTCTCTACCTTCAGATTGCTGATATGCTTGAAGACAAAAGGGTTGTTGATATTTATGGCCTTGCGGATCTTGTCGTTCATTGCGTTAACATATGTCTGGTACACAGCCATGCACTTCTTGGCCAGGGAAGAAGCATAATAGATGGGGATGTCATGGAGCTCTGGGTGATTCTGCCAGTACTCGTCTGCAAGAGAACATTAAACCCAATCTTACAGACTTCTATGAGTGATAATGGGATAAAGAGAAGACAAATAACCAAAGTCATAACTATCAGAGGAAATTATGTTGAACATTGAGGTTAACAATATTGACACACATTATCACATTTTCAGTATCAGGGAGTCAAACATGACTTCTAACCCAAGATAAGCAGCAGTTCCTGTGCTCGTCCCAAAGCAAACACAGGGATTAAACAGCGACCCTCTCTGTTGACAATGTCATGGACGGTGTTACAGAACCGAGCTTCTCGCTCTTCCCTTTTTTCATGGATGTGAGTGCCGTAGGTGGATTCCTGCAGAAAGACAAATAATAGTTTCTGACTATGTTTCGATCACCTACGGAGCCTTTTAAAAAGGTGTTCAATATGACTTATTATAGTTAAATAATGTCATACTATGATTAAGATGTCAGGTTTGACACTGGGGATCTCAGCTGCCATGAGGTGCCTGTCTTCTTGGCGGGAAAAGTCTCCTGTGTACAGAAGCTTTGGAGGGAAAAGGAGATGGGGATTATACATGTAGGTTAGCTTTTTAAAAAAAATTAAGCGAACAATCCTTTCTTATCATTATCGATTAAACAACAGCAATTTTACTTTGACTCCAGCTATTTCGATCATGAACATAGCAGCTCCCAGCACATGACCAGCGTGGTAGCACCAAAACTTGATCCCAGCCACCTCTTTGACCTCGTGGAAGTTGATTGTCTCTATCTTGTCCATGCTCTCCTCCAGGTCGGTTTCAGTGTAAAGCATGTCGTCTGCCGAGATGTTACTGCAATAATAATAAAAATATGACTGTATGCTGCACTGCAATTAAAAGGTCATTGTCTCTAGGCACCTTTGCCCCTACCTGACTTTAACATAGTCTGATAGGAGCCAGCGGTAGATGGCTTTAGTGGCATGAGTCATGAAGGTCCTCCCTTTAAAGCTGGTCTTCTGGAGGAACCAGGGCAGAGCTCCACAGTGATCCAGGTGGAAGCTGAAATGAGAACACATAAAACCAGCAATAATTAGAGATCTAAACTGTCGTTTCTGTGCAGGAAAAATGTGAAAATGTAAAGGAGACAGGGCAGTTGAGCCTCACTGGCTGATCAGCAGCAGGTCTATCTCAGCTGGGTCAATCAAATCTATGTATGGGAGAGCGTCCATCCCCTCCAATCCAGGGTGAATGCCGCAGTCCAGCTGCCACACACAAATACAGCTTTGTTCATTTAAATCCAATCTGCATCAATGCTGCCTTCGGACATGAAATACTACAATGGCAACTATATGTCAAAATATATAAAATAATAAAATTAATTTAATTGTATTGAATGCATGGAAACAAAAACAAAAAATTGCACTTTGTACTCCTTCAAACAGGTAACCGTAATATAGTTATTATTGCTATTGATATAAGTGTATAACCAATTATTTGTTATTATTTATTTTACCATAATTTTCCTTCCTTTGAACTCCAGGATAATGCATGACCGCCCAACCTCCTGCCCAGCACCGCTGCAACATGAGCCAAATACGGTATCAGTGCATGTATGTGGTTTTATGGTGGCACAATGAATCAGCCATAAAATATAATATTTATATGTATGTGCATATATCTAAAAAATAGAAATTAACTCACAGTGGACGAATCAGGAGCTGGTCGCTTTCCTCGGCAGGGACAATTATCTCTATTTTGCGTTTTGTGGCCATTTTGTTCTAAATTTTTAGTGTCATTTTTAAAATACAAAAAAATAAAATAAAATAATAATAACAAATCCGATAATACTGCACTCAATGTGTTTTCTGAATGAACTTCCGGGGGCGTGTCCAAAATACGCCCGACTGGAATCAAGTCGTGTGACAGAAGTTCCGAGACGGACGTTGGTTGGCTTTTACCAGCTTTGATCTAACATTTATTAAACAACCCGACGCAAAAAGAGGCGCGGCAGTTAAATATATTAGCTCAATTTAGGATTATCTATTTTAAGTTCAGCAATGTATCGACACAATAATCCGTATTATTCGTAGGATTTTTATGTGTTTATTTTTCTTCTGCGTTGCGTCCCCTTTAAGTGGTGTTGGGTGTAGGCTTCAAAGCTCAAAGGGAAGCCGAAGAGTCAAACTGTGGATAAATAGAAAGTGGATTGGAAGAAAAGCAGATAAACGGTACACTGAGAGCACCTCGGTACAACAGGTATGTTTCAAGTCATGTTAGCGTTAGATAATTCACTCTCTTTACAAGCCCCTCCGAGGAAGTCCTCGGCTTGTAACTTTTAAAATGAATGCGACCAAGAGTGAGTAGGATAAGTTTGAGTCACTCAGGTTTTCTTGTAGCTACAGCACTACAAGCACAGAGCAGCTCGTAGTTTGGGTGATAGGCGTCTTAACCTTTGGTGTCTGTAGCCTGGGACTCCGTTAGCTTCATCTGTTTACAGACACGCTGTTCAAGCCGCACCTAAACGAGGCTGTTACAGTAGCAGGTGTAGTTTCCTGTTTAAATGGTGCTCCTGTTTTTAACTTGGTGGTTGTACGCGTTGTTAAATAGTACTGTAACACTATACTATAATGTTAAAAAGTACAAATAATCTCACAAATTTGTGTTTATAATCGATATTATCAATTTAGGCTCTTGTTTGAGTGTTATATCGTCTGTTATTCTGAGTATTCTGGTCCTGAGTTATTTTCAGACTCAGACGTGATTAAACTCAAGTTGAAAGTGAAATGCGGTTTAGCAGCGGTGGTGACTGAATATAGCTTTTCTAGCCTTAGTTTAACTTTGCTTTCAGAGTTCCCAGGACAAGTACACCTTCCTACATGAAGAAACTACTCGAACAAATATCTCACCTTACACTTGTGGATGTTGTTATTTTCATTAGGATGTCTTTTTGTGTGGATGACTCAAGGTTATTATAGTTTAACTAAAACTGGTCTAGAAGACTGAGGGAAAGGATTTTAGTTCGCTAGAATAAAAATAAAGCCCAATTTTTATTTTTATTTTTTTAAAAAGAAACCAACTGGAAACATGTACTTGCCAAAGTAATACAAATTATATAAATATCCAAGAAATCTCATGAATTTCATGAAAGATATTTAGCAGTTGTTTTGAGCCAGCCCTCATTTCTTAATATTTTACTTTCAATGAAGCCACTAAACACACACCCATGAATCTTTTCTTTCTTTAAATTGCCATTAGTGGTTCAGAATGTCATCAGCATGTATAAAGGAGGAGAGGAGAACGGTCCAATGGTGAATGTGTGCAGCCATCTGTAAAACACACTACTCTCTCATGGTTTGGGCTGCTTTTCAGCCAGTGCTGTTGGGGACCTTTTCAAAATTGATGGAATTATGAACACAGAAAAGTACCATCAGATTTTCATCCACTGGGCAGTGCCATCGGGAAAGGGCCTGATTGGCAACGCCTTTATTTTCCAGAATGACAGTAATCCCAAAAACACTGCCAATGCAGTAAAAGTATACCAGGGTAGAGAAACACACAGTAGAACACTATCAGTCATGGATTGGCCTCCCCAGAGCCCAGACCCCCAGTGTCATTTAAGCAGTGTGGGATCATCTTTATTTTTCTTCTTCTCTTATAAGAAAGAGGAACAAACTAGGTATCAATTATTCAAACCGTATATGCTCCTGTGTCCTGCATTTAATTATTTATGGGCTCCATTAACACCTGAGAAGGCAGCCATGCTGCGCGTCTAACTCTGAGCCCTGTGATGATCCAGGTCAGCGGGTCTGGAGGGCTGGATGCGGTCGTCATGGTGAAGGATGTTCCGGAAAGGCAAAAAGCGCCACAGCAGCAGCAGCTCGCAAAGCAGTGAGATCAGCACAAAGAGCAAGGTGGTTAACAACACAAGCATGCAGACACGTGTGTCTTTGCGTTTCATTAAGGCGGCGCTGTCTAATGTTTCTGTCTCACTGCAGTCTGTGGACTCCAGCTTGGGAGGACTCTCCAGATCGAGTACTGTTGCCAGCCTTGACACGGACTCCACCAAAAGCTCAGGTCAGCTTGACTTCCTGTTAAAATTTTGAAGCAGCCTCGCAGTTTAATTTTCTAACTGGTGTTTTTTTTTTTTTGTTGTTGTTGTTTTTTGTCTATAGGGAACAACACATCTGAGACATGCGCTGAGTTTCGGGTGAAATATGTGGGTGCTATTGAGAAGTTAAAGTTTGACATGAGCAAGACCCTCCAGGAACCGCTGGACCTCATCAACTACATTGATGCTGCTCAGGTAAGAAGCTGGAGAAAGATCTGGGCACATTTTAACTTTAACCTTTCTCCTTGGAAACATGCTGTAATTATTCCGATATAAAACAGAGAAGGTACTGCAAATTTTGCTTCCTCTTCTCATAGCAAGATGGAAAGCTGCCATTTGTTCCCGGAGATGAGGAGATGGTTTTCGTAGTGTCCAAGTACGGCGTCAAGGTGGCGTCGCTGGACCAGTGTGTGAGTAGTAAAGGAATAGAAAGGTGGTACACAGTCATTTCGAAGAGTATCCCAAGAACGGAGGAACATTTTGGTGTCTAAACTACAACAACTGAGCTCCTCGGTTACCTGAATTTTAAAAAGAAGAGGTGATGCAACAGGGTGGTAAACATGCTCCTGCCCTCAATGCACTGAAAAATGTTGCTGGCATCAAATTCAAAGTGAGCGTGAATTCTGTGAATGTGCAGTGAAATTTCACACTTCCAACCTTTGATGTGATTTGATTTAACAGTTTAATTTTAACGTAATTTAACTTAAATTAAACATGGCACACAAATGATTTGCAAATCATTTTTGGAAACTGAGTTAACAAATTGAAAAAGACCCCTACTATGTGTTTTTGTTCTACACTCTCAGAATGTGCTGCATCGCCATCCTCTCTACCTGATCGTGCGTATGCTGTGCTACGATGACGGCCTAGGCGCAGGGAAGAACCTGCTGGCTCTGAAAACCACTGACACAGAGCAAGAAGAGTGCAGCATCTGGGTGTACCAGTGCAGCAGCTCAGTAAGTACGAAATGGAAGGTCTTTTACACGGTCACTGTGCGTTTCCTTTCCCTGATGCGTGACATCTGCTGTCTGTCTGAACAGGAGCAGGCGCAGTCCATCTGCAAAGTGTTGTCGGCCTCCTTCGACTGCGTTCTGACATCAGACAAGTCCAGAGGCTCTGAGTGAGAGTTGGGATGAGAGCGAAACATCTGCAAAACCAGCAACAGTTAGACAACCAGCATTGTTATTGGCAAAAATGTTGCACCTTTGCTTTCTTACCCTTCTGAGAGGTCATCTAAAGGGCAGATCTGATGGTGCGTAATCTTTGTTATTGATGGAAAAGTCTAGCGTGAGCTAGCTGTTGTTCCCCTTCCTGTAATCCATCCAGTTAAAACAGAACTGTGGTGAATTTTTCTGAGTCACTTCCCTGGAATTTGTTGTTTTTGGGGTTTTTTTTGCCTTCTCACAATAAATATTAAAAGAAGGTGTAGTAAGGAGGCAAACGGTTGCATTAAATATAGCTTTGGGACACAATGCAGAGCTTTTATAAGTTTAACGTTAAGTGTATTTAATGTATGCAATGGTACTACATAGTGCTAAAACTTTGCTGGCATATGTTAATTCACGGAAGACAATCATTGGATTAACTGCTCGGTACACAGATGTGACAGCTGGCTTCAAGAGGAAATCACTCAAATCCCTCTTCAGGTTTTGAAACCCTGTGAGTGTTTTGTTTTCTAACAGCAGTATTGGTACAATAGTGGTCGCTTTTTGACCAGAAGGAATGTTACAAATATCGCCTGACTTTTTGGACACATTGATCTTAATTTGTGGGATTTATTCATTTTTAAAGATTTACTTGAGCTTATTTTAAATCTTTTTTTTTTAAACTCTTGGTACCAAAAGTGCGATTAGCTGGGAAAAAGTACATTTTAACAGGCTGGTAGCGACACATGTAAGATTTTGTGGGACTTGTTTACAGTTGTGGTACTAACTTGACTTCACCTTGTGAAATAATACTTTGGTCCAGTTGAAAATGTGTGTGAAGAAGGAAAATAAAGACGTGGATCAGGTACAGCAGAGGAGCGTTTTCCTTTTCTTGAGTACGTTTACCAGCAGAGGGAGCTCATGAGACATCATTTAACTCTTAGCTTGACAAGATTGTTTTTAAAATGCAGGTCACGAAATATGGTAATGGAAGAAAAAACACTTGCTGCTGGATCACAAACTCTGAAGAAGAAACACACAGACGCCTTGCACTATTTCAGATTTTATTGTTCCAGTTTGTTTTTCTCCGATTTACTTGCACAACAGAGTTAGAAGTCAATGCAGTGATTCACAGACTGTTAATGAGAATGATTTGAATAGTGTTTGTGTGTGTGCGTGCACACATTAGTATCTGTATTCATGTTTACAGCACACACACAGGCCCAGCTGAGGTTGTGTGACTGCTCATCACCACAGTGCATTAAAAGACATTTACTGCCCGGGTCTACCTGCTTTTTTTTTTTTTTTTTTTTTTTACCCTCCTTTTATTTTCAATATTTTACATTTAAATATCCACAAACAAAACCTGCTCTATTTACACAAACAGATTTAACAATCCAGTGAGTTAATAATCAACACGGTGGAGAGAGTGCGCATCAGCTACCACCCTCTCGCCATTCACAAATCCACGAAAGGCTCCGATTTCAGGTTAAATGCCTAAATATCAACAATATGAACAGAGAGAAAGTTGCTCTGCAACTAAAATGAAGTTAATTACACTATGTTTAATATTTATTTCACAAGGCATTAGATAAACTTGTCTTAAAAGTACTATATGAGGCTTAAGCTGCAGGAAGGGTGTTCCCTCTCTCTCTTTATTTAGCTCATCTGTGAAGAAAAAGTCTCGAGGAAGCAACAAAAGTCACAGAGCTTACTCCCGCTTTTCATCTCATTGCCACGCTCTCATTTTTTTGGCTCCCTGTTATTTGAATATGCTTTCGTTTGCAGCTTATTTCCGTACGGACAAAACATGCACTCGCACATACAAGCACACGCTTCTATTCCTCTAATAAGGCAGATGACAGGCAGAGATGGCCTGAGGTGTCAGGACTCAGCATAAAGGTAATTACTGCCTGTTGCAGCTCCAGTCAGCACTGCATCAGGAGGAAGAAGAGGAGGAGGAGGAGGAATAACTGGAGTGTTGCTTTTGAATATGACCCCCTGCCCCGCAGCTTAAATTGGGGCAGACAGTGTGCATGTGTGAGGGAAAGCCTTGCAGAGGATGCATGTTCCTATTATTCTATGCCGGCTCGGGAAAGTGGACTCTCCCAGGTGTGATGGGCTGGAGGCTATTTTAACATGCAGCATCCCCGTTCTCGATTGCCAGTCCGTCACTGAAATTGGGTCAGGGAAAGGCTCCCTTGGGTGCAACTTCCAGCATATTTTAAGGTTAACTTAGCACCATTAGAAAAACCTCCACACGGGAGGGCTACTACATATGTGGAAAGCTGCACCTAAAAGCAGGCATTTCAGAATTGCTCATGCACAGATATGGAATGTAAGCATGGGGACTAAGTTCACGTTGACAGCTGTTAGTAAGTTAAAACACAACGCTGTGATCTTCTCAGTGCTGTCGCTTTAAGGACTGTCTGTATAATGGAGAAAATGGATGCGAGGAATCCTGTACATACATGTTAACAAGGGAAAAGACAAGAAAAGTGCATTTATTGCGAGAGGACATTCACTACAATCATCTTTGTTTTGTTTTTCCTTTTTTAACTGCAAGCATTAAAACCACAGAGTCCGATGAGTCCCCTGTGACACCCAGACTCGCTGGAGCAGCAGTGACGCTTGAACGAGCTCGCTCAAGACGCCAGCGGAGATGGTGATGATGGTGCCGATGACGTCGACTGCAAACACTGGGGCGATGGTGGATGTTTTGTCGGTGATAGTGGGACGTGTGATACTTCCCGAGTCCCGGATTTCAGTCGGCGATGAAGTGCACAAACGTAACGGGGAAGGCGCCTCTTCTCATTGGCTCGCCTTCGATGTGGCCCAGCTGCGAAGAGCAAAGACAGATGAGATGTGAGGTCGGAGGACGATATGAGGCAGCCATGACAAGAAAACAGAGGGGTTTAGTCTGTTTGGGTAGAAATGCTTAAATTATTTGAGTCAACTAAAGTATGCACAGACTTCATCTAAAAGATGGACATAGCCACGGGGAAGTCACCTACTGGCTGACTAAAGTTGTGTAGCCTCAGGCTGAGCGTTTGGACAAACACCTGGATCTGACTGAGCTGTATGCAATAAGACTTGAAGCGTTTACTGAGGTTAGAAATCAAATCAAATGAGCAACAGGGTTTGTTTTTGCACCCGTTTTGGCAATAAGCAGTGCTGCCTCCTGCTGGCCGTTATAAAATAATGCAGCTTTCAGGCACTTCAGCATTGGCTTCACTTTTTAGAGCAGGAAGCTACGCCCATCTTTAACATACAGTCTACGACAGTACCAAACACCACAGAAAATGACAGAGTAGTTAAAAACAGGTGGGGAAGACTTTTCCAATATTTGTGATTTCAACCCATGTGATTCAGTTTTGAGATTTTAAATCCCAAACCTACTACTTACATACTTCTTTGGCTTTTATTGGTGTATATTATAATGCTTGACACAAGTATACTGAGCTAAAAGTGTGAAAATGCACAAATACAGTCCCTCAGTGCTCACAGAGAGGGAAACGAGCATTTGTCATGTGTGCAAGTATCATCAGGATATACAGCAGGCAGCGTTAGAGGCTCTAAAGTGCTTGGATTTAGTTGATATACTTCTATATTTTCTGTGTTTGGCTCAGAATCCAAAGAATACATCTTCAGCTATATGAAAAATGAGTATGTATCCAACGTAAATCAATCGGGATTTTGTCAAAACTGAATCAACAGAAACACCATCTAAATCTGCAAAGAGTAATAAAAGGCTACGTCACAACAAACATGAGAGCTTTACACGTAAAAGACTTTCCCCTTTTAAATTACCTTGAGGATAAAGAAGACAGTACCTATTATCTCCATTAAAGACATTTTAAAGGTCGTCTATACCTGAAAGTAAAAAGCTAGGACATGTTTCTGCTCCGATAAAGTTAAATGAAACATGGCAAGTAACAACATCAAATGCTGATCCAAGCTTATCAGAGGAACTACAACAGAGACAAAAGTCATGTTTTAAACACTGTAAAGCATTCTTTCCTCATTATGCCGGTTTTCTAGAATATTTTCATAGGAAACAGACTTTATAGTGTATGATAGACCCGTTTGTGCAGCCGCAGCTCTGTGCTGTTATTTGATATCTCAGACACAAAAAGAGTGATAATGTAGCTGGACATAGGACAGAGAGGAAGCATGGCAACGGGGTCCTCGGGGGGAAACTCTGGATCCATGGAGGGACACAAAGTGAGACTGACTAAATACGGTCATATCTGCAGGGGTGGCTCACAGAAAACAAGTTGCAGCTGGTCAGCGTTCACACAAGGGGCTCCACAGAGGAAGCAGAAGCAGCAGCATTCGGAAAAAGAGGAGGAGGGAATGAGCTCATGGTTTATCAAAGTTACAAAGAACGCCGACATCCATCAAAGAATGTTTAATATCTCAAATCTGAAAACAGTGCAAACATCCAAGATGCACAAAAGAACTTGCACACCGAGTCTTCAACGTGACAGATACTGACCCACCACTCCTGGTCCTCCTCTCCGTCCACCACGATCACCTCGCCCTCGGAGAAGGTCAGCTCATCGGGGTTGTCGGCTACACAGTTGTAGATTGCTTTCACTCGCTTTGGCCTCTGCTTCTGGGACACGGGAACAAGCACAGACACACACACAGGATTTCAAGGGCATTTGCGTTAATCTGTGGGATTTTACTTTTTAAATAGCAAACTAAGGCAAAGTTGACGAGAAGATGAAGTTTGTGAATCATCGCGGCACTGCATGGGATTGGACTGGCAAATACCAACAACTAGAAGCCAGCGAGGGGGATTAGTGTACAGACCATGCAAATGAAAGACGTGCACTCTTTTCTGGTTTTTCTAGTCAATTTCAAATCGCTTTGCAATATTAAAACGCTTAAATGTGCTTACATGAAACACAAAATGCCAGCAGTAGCCCTCTCACATGCAGAATAAGGCCAAATTATGGAGTCAGGCTGCAGAAGGGGAATTTACAAGCAAGCACTAGAATCACTGAAACAATAGGGAGGGGACTTACACAGCTCTACAAAGGCAGTAAGCCATGAATTAGGAAATAAGCTGCAGAAGAGTCTATACTGCAAACTGAATGAATATGCAAAGTAAAATCTGGATGATAATTAAAGGGGGTGGGGGGGGGGAGGTAATTGAAAAAATAAAAATTAGGGACTCACTGGGTATGCTTTCCTCGGCATGGGGGCTGGAGGCAGAGACTGACCTATGGAGTTCTGAGGGCATCCTGGCAGTTCCTTAGCTGGAATGAGAAAAGGAAATTAGATCACGGTGAACACAAAACTTTCCACGTTTCCAGAGGAGAAACAAGATCTGAGCGAATACTCAAACAACTCACACGCAATGTTACTCACATGCTCTTTCTTTAGATTCTGTTCGATTTAGGGGCCCTCTGCTGAAGCTTTTATCATTTCTGGAAATAAAAAAAAGAAGCACAAAAAAAAAGAAAAAAGAAGCGTGATAGTCGTACCAAGATGGAGAAAAGAGCTCTTGAGGAAGCTCAAAGGGCTGTCAGAAATTTATCACAACACTATGAGGCCTGTGGGAAGGAAAAAGAAAAAAAAAGGACAAAAGGACGACTGTGGAGGAAAGTTATTACTTGTCTGGCTTGATGGGGAGCTTAGCCTAGAAGCTAAAGAAGCGTCTCTATCCACTTGGAAAGAAACGCCACAAAACAAGCAGCCAAAGCAAGACACACGACCACAGTGCACAATCTTCCTGTGTATGTGTGAATGCATGAATATTTTTGTGTAGCTCAGAAAGCTCTAGTACATGTTGACATGCCTTTTAAGGAAATCTAAAACTTTGCTGTGCATAAATAAATGCACCTTTATGTTCTTACCCTGCGGGAGATTTAGGTGGCACCGCCCGGGACCCCAGTGGCCCCTGACCCGACTTGCTCATGGAGTCCATCTTCATCGCAGTAGGAAGACCCAGAGCTGGAACACAGCAATCCTTTGCTTTAGCTCATTTGTTTACAGTGTGAAGAAAAATGTGACTAAGCTGATGTTGTGATGAGTCAGGAAGTCTGGTTTTAAATAGATCAACTGATAAATTAAGGTCAGAAGAACCTTTGACATATGCATGTGGAAAGAAAAGAAAACTGAAGGTGAGCTAAGTGCATGTGTCGATTATGTAAATGAAACCTTTAACAGCTTTCTTCCAGTAAAATGTTTTATTAGACGCTGAGAAGAGCTGCGATCCAAACACATCTATAAAATGTCCACTACGTCTTATTAAATCACTTCACTGAGAACGAGTTTCTATGCCTTAAAGGCAGCATTTAAGCGTGCACAAAACTGGGGCCATACCTCCAGTGGAAGTGAGCCTCATGGGCGGCGGCGGAGGATGCATGTTAGGGGGGTCTGAGGACGACCTCTGTCGGCCAGTCAGGTCTAAAGGACTGGGCTTCCAGGGGCTGGACGCTGAGCCTCCCGGGCCGGACAACTGGACTGGAGACGAGATGGGGGAAAAGGAGATGGGGGTTATTAAAATGAAAAAGAAGGGAGACTAAGAGAGAGCAGGGCTGTTTGCCAGAACCAGCGTCCACTAATAAAGTCAAGTCGTTTCCATTTCAGTGTAATTGAGAGCGACGGTTAATGAGGGCAATGAATGCCGAGGCTGGGAGCTGTGGGGACGTGAGGGGGGCGACACAGCTGGCTGTTCGTCCTCTGCTCTGTTGGCAGCACTCCAAACAGACACTAATGGTATTATAGGCCGACTGTGGCAAGTCACTAGATTTTATTTATTGATTTTTTTTTATTCATATCACTTCCTTATAGGCAGGCAAAGAGGCCAGCTTCAGAAGAAGTGAGGTTATCTGTGTCATCTGGAGAATGAGATCATCTTTTTCCATTCATATAAACTGTAACAGATTTATTAAATGCCTGCCGGTGTGTTTCGCTCACAGTGGTTTCTACCTACATTCGCCTTTATTTCTCCTGTCTGAGCTTACCCAGGTTCCTCGGGGGCAGAGGTGGAGCAGAGTTGGTGGTGGGCTGAGGGGGGTTTGTGTTGACTATGGTGCCGTAAGTCTCGTTGTTGACCAGGTTGGGCATGAAGAGGCGCTGCTTGTCCTTAGCTTCACGGCCGGCGGAGCCGAGGCCGGACTGTACGTGGTGGGAGTTACTGCTCGGGGTGTAACAGCTGACCGGTCGCTCGTCTCTCCGATGGGGGCTCGGCTGGAGGGGAGGCATGCACGTGAGGATGTGAGCATTACAGTTACACAATGTGAGACAGGAGCACATCATATATGATTAACCTAGGTACCATGCACTTTACACATGCACCACAATCATGAACTTTTTATTGACATTACGTGACATAGGTGCACGTGAGCATTCATAGTGAAGTATGGCTGTCATGTGACTCCTGCACGCTCTGCGCAGGCAGCAATGTCCCAGTCATGGGACTTTGTCTTTGCCTTTTAATAAAGCTTCTCACTAATCTTCTAGCATTAGTTTGAATGATTATTTTAGTATTTAGGAGATTTCTCATTTGGCTACAACACTTCAACAAAGGCAAAAACACAACAAAAATAAAATTAAAACATGGTTATTCCCCCCCCCAAAAAATTGAACCAGTTTCAATTATCTGATGAGTTTTCAATAATGAACTCAGGTCCAATCAAATCTAAGTGGCAACTTTCAGGGTTTGAAAAATCAAGCCAGCGCCAAAACTGCAGTTCCTCGAATGGCCACTTGAGGCAGGTTAACTCCTGCATTAAAATGCCCCATTTCTCCTTCTAGATATATATAAGGCTCCTGTGTTAAAATTCAGCCTTGAAAACAACATGTTTAACTATCAATAATTAAACTTGTCCAAAATCCAATCACATTCAATCATTTCAGGCAGCAAGAATGACAAAGCGCATTATAAAGCACAAAGGAAATAAGGAGTTTAGTGTTTAATTTAAGGAGATTGTATTTAGTGGAAACAAAATAAAATAAAATAAACCTTTTGCAGAAATTCAGAGCTCTTCAGGTTGTTTTTCACAGCAGCCTCACTACAAAGCTGATTTGATCTCTCTCTCAAGCGTTAGTCGTTTTCATCCCTTTCATGTTTGTTTGTTTGTCTCTTTATCACTTTTTTAAAACTTTTTTTGTCTTGAAATCTTTAAAAAAAAAAAAAAAGGAACTATTACTATTCACAAAAGCATCCCTCACCTTCTCATCCAGATCCTCGTCGCTCTCATCCAGGTCTTCGTGCTGCAGGCACCATTCATACTCGACGTGGACGTGGGCGTTGAATTTTCCTGCCAGTGCTTGGTTCAGCTGTAAACACATACGTACGGAAACTCAAATGACTGACAGCTCTTACATTTCACGAAGCGACGATGTGCTTGCAGGATTAAGCCAAGTCTAAACATAGTAAGCTCACCAGCTCCTCACACTGTAGGTGTTTGAGCCTTCGAGCGATATCCAGCGGTGTCTCCCCGGCCTCATTAGCTAGAAGGCAAAACAACAGACACATATAATCACTGTTGTACTCACAAGCCACATGAGCACAAACACACGGCCCATTTTCTCCCTTTCCCGTCACTGTGACAAGACAAATGTATAATTAAACCGTTTCCCACACCGAGCATCTCTCTGGTGTCTCTCTGTGCTCCGTCTCCATTCATTTGTTATCTGGCTGTTTTGTTTGATTTCAGAGCAGAGCAGAAAGATAAGTGCTGTGAGAAAAAGTTGCCACGGCTTGTTTTCTGGGAACCAAGTGTGAGATGAAGATAGGCCACCAGAGAAAACAAACTCCCGGACTCAAAAGTCTCACTCAAAAGCAACTTTATAAATACCAGCAGCTTTCATGTATTAAGCACACTTATGACGAAATTCCATTGCAGTGGCCTCTATATAATGTGCAAAAGTCTTGAGCCACCCCTCATTTCTTTATATTTTACTAGTAAATAGGTGCAGCAATAAGAACATTGCCATGCTGATTAGAAGTTTTTCCTATGGTATTGCACGGAAGGTCAAAATGTGACTTTTCTATATTCAGTTCTGACCAGATCATAGCATGACGCCATGTTTTACACTCACTGTGCCCCTCATGGTCTCCTCCACACAAACTGATGATTTTATCATTTCATTACTATATAAGATCTGTTGTCATTGATTCTTTAGTCCAGTTCTTGCATAATACGGCACACCTCAGCCTTTTCTCTCAGTTTCCCTTCCTTAAGAATGGCTTCTTGACACCACTTCAGACCTAAAATCAATTCTTTGCCAAGTCGTATGTTATATGTAGGCAGAAAAAATGGTTCATCCCTTAAGTTAGGTGCTTTTTTTTCTTTTTTAAACTCGAATGATTCAGAAGTCAGTGTTAAGTGGCTTAACACACAAAAAAATAATACTCTGAAAATGATCAAGTACAAGGAGTGGATTGAAAATGATAGAAAATTGTCCTAAAAGGCCCTTTTTGACAATTTTAGAAAGCTTTGGAGAGCTAGTGCTTAAACCAGTTAATATTACAACTATAAGAAAGTCTAACTCATTGAAATCCAAATATCAAGAAATGAGGGGGGGCTTCAGACTTTTGCACAGTGCAGTAATGTGCAATTTAAATTGTACTGTGATCAAGTTTAATCTGCAAAATTGTTGTTGTTTTTTTTTTGTGCTTGTGATTCCTGATTAAAATGACCGGTGTCTCACGCTGTCAGAAAAATGTGAAGGACTAAATGTACAGGGAGAGAAATAGATGGACATGGAAACACCCAAAGCACAATTACCTCAAAACTGTAAGTACAATATTTCAGTCCTTGCACTTTGTTAGCTGCTGCAGAAAAAGAACAATGGACTGTTGATGCACTGCGGCTGTGCTGTTTGTCTCTGGTGTTTTTCCTTACCAATCTCTATGGAGGCTTTCCCCCGCAGCAGCAGCTTCAGACATTCACTGTTGTCAGTCAGGCAGCAGTAGTGCAGCGCTGTGCTGCCTTTGGCTGTCTGCTTATCCAAATTTAAACTTCCAGGGAAGAGAAACAAAGAGGGGAAAAACTTTAAATCCCAACACAGAGGATATAAAATCCAGCTTTCTTCTGTCCTGCCTCAGTGCTCCATAAGACCAGGGAGTAGTTTTGCCAATACAAACACTTTCTGTAAAATTGTGTTTTTAGCACGCAAACCACAGCAAAACAAAGCTCTACTGTTGTTTTTAATGCATCATTGTTATTATTATGCAAATAGTTTCTGTCCATAGAGAAAAGAGAGTAAACAGAAAAAAAAGTGGATGTCAAGAAACCAGCAGGACTGAAAATAAGCTTTTGGTCTTTTTATGATGGTCCGACAGACCATCTCAGCATATTGATTTCTGGTTGCCTTCAGTGCTGTGTTTACCTGTTCTGAGTGAGGAAGTCGACGATGTGAAGGGACGTTCTGTCCACCAGCCTCACCGCTAGATGAAGAGCCGTCTCTCCTTGTTCCTGAAATAAAACGATCAAGCATTTGCATGAAATCTCTGGAACGTGTGGTGGATTTCAGGTTCATGGAAGGAGATAGAGAGCAATAATAATGCCACAGATTATTATAAATAGGAGGAGAAACGGTACGCAGGAAAATGTTAACATATGTTGTGCACTGACATGCCCGTTGGCCAGAGGAATGGGCTCCATGAGGTCCACCCCCTCAGCGTAGACTTGGATGAGGGAGAAGATGTCTCGGGCCTTCACTGCGTCGCACAGCGTGTGGAGCCGCGACGTCGCATCCGGACACTTCTTCTTGGCGAAACGTTTCTCCGTGTATTTGGCTGTGATGAAGTCTTTCCTCGCCTGCCTGGGGGAGAACACGAGGACACAGATGCTCCTAGCATGTCATCTTGGAATATGGCCGTGCCATCAGGGAAGAAAAAAATCCATTGATGGAAAAACTAATCTGCTGTCTTCATTTTTTTAATCTTGCTGAACCTGGAACTTATCAGCTCTAGCAGCTGAAGTGACCCCAGATCATCACTCTGGCCCTTGTAGGGTGGACGCCATGCATAAAGGGTGCATGACCATATCTTCCTCTCTTCTTACCTCAATGTACCCATCACTCTGGAACAGGCTAAATCTGGAGTAATCAGATCACACAACCTTTTTCTATTGCTCCAGAGCTGAATCTCACACTGAAACCCTTTTCTCCGATTAGTCTCACTGGCAAGTGGTTTTCTTAAGGCTATCCAGCTGCTTAGCCCCAAACCCTTGAGTCCTCTTTGCACCGTGCAAGATTTTCTTCCCCCAATCACACTTCTTCCCTCAAGACAACACCTCAACACTACCTTTCCAGGTTTCAATAATGCATTAAACTGTTCTTTCAGAAGTCGCCTTAATTGTTCTCACTCTGAGGATCAAAAACAGCTTTTGTGATTATGATAAAAAGTTGATCAGATTTCAGATTCTTTTCTTAGTTTTTTTTTTTTTTTTTTAAAACAGAAGAGATAATCAATAAAAACATGTCAAACTTGTTACTTAAAATGTGTTAAAGGGTCACATAAAAGGATCGCAAATCGATGTGCAGAGTGTAAACTGAGATCAGTGAGGAGACGGGAGCAGCAGAAGAGCTATGGAGGTGAGGTGATGGAGGAAGAATGGAGTGTGAGGGGGTGACTTACATGTCACTGGCCGGGTTGGGTTTCACCACGTTTTCAGCGCTTAAACAAGCCTCCATGATTTCATTAAAGCCTACATTCCCCACATTCTTGGCCAGCTGTGGAACACACACACACACACACACACACACACACACACACACACACACACACACACACACACACACAGTAATTAAAACTAGTTATGTGTCATTTTCTGAGCCACATCGATTAACTCAAAAGTCATCAGCTCCAATCACGCCCCCACCGGGAGGCAGGAGACATCCTGAGCTCCAAGTGTGGAGCCTCACAGACTCCACAACGCCCCGTCTGACTGTGGCCAACATGACTGGCGTCTTAACACCAGGGAAAGCAATGATGGCTGGAAGCATTTAATCCCGACCGTCCCTTAGGCAGTAAATCACTACACCAAACGGTGATTAGAAAAGCCAAACAAAATCTCAGCTATTCTGAGTGTGCAGACTTCCAGAGGTCTTTTAAAGAGGAAGACGCAAAAGGCACTGTAAGGCTTCTCATTTTCACCCAATCTTTATTTACTGTCCACCTGTCCTTAAAATCTCCCTCTATTTTTTCCCCTTTCTTGTTTCATTTTCCAAGCTTATCCTGCTTAAAATATTCCAGAGAGCTCTGGATAAGAAAAAGAGGAACAAGAAGATGGGTAGTGATTTACCAAGAGCTCTGAGGTGCTGAGTACATCCAGTGTGAGGGACTGGATCCGCGAGTAGTGGACTCCCAGCTCCCTGTGTATCCCTGAGCATTCAATGCAGGTGAGGATGCCCAGGTTGGTGGATAGCCATGTCGGGTCTGTTAAGGGGTAAAAACGGAAAGATCATTGTAAAGAAAATGGAGAAAAAGGGACATAAACAATGCATGAGTGACATGAGAGAGGAGTGTATGTGGGTGAAAAGCACTGAAGCAGAAGTCACTTCAGCAGCCTGTGAGCCAACTTTGATGTGTCCTTGTGGAAATCCAATGGCTGCCTGAAAAGCCTTTTACTAACACTAACACACTGTCACAGGAAAGTGACCGAGCTGGACTGCTTACTCTGTGCATGTGTAGGTATATGTGCCTGCCGTACATACATACTATAATAAAGTACAGATCTGTGGTGGGGGTATTTCATGGGTTTGGGGTATTTCACAAAACTAATTTCAAGGTTGTGGCAGAATATTTCCTCAGGGGAACCACTCTAAGAGTTTTCAATACGAGGAATTTATACCACTGGTGTGCATGAATTACACTACCCGCTCCCCGTAAGTACTGTATACTACATTAAATTACAGCAAACACTTTGCCAAAGCATTGTGCACATGTCTGATCTGCCTCCAGGCAGGCTTCTAAGTGTCCGCTGCCTTTAGGAATCGAGGATACAAGCGGAAGGATGTTAAAGTCAATGTTGCTTTTTCCAGAAAATCTGATCGTGACTGCAGAACTGTGGAGATTTCTGATTTGATCCAGTCCCCTGTGTCAGGAGATTTAAATAATTAATGAAGTTATCGGCTGCTGTGCTGTGTAAACTGCACTCGGTGCGGTTCCATTTGGAACAATACTCTTAGGGTCCACTGTATATGCATTTACTAAGATCCCAGCTGTAAGCAAGACAGAAAAAAAAACACCTGAAATTATATAAGAGTAATATTTGAAGCTAAATGTAAAGACTTAAAAATCTTTAATCCGAATGATGTTTAAGGAATTGAAGAAATCGGAAGATCCTCATGACTGGAGACCCACCAACTATGTGCGCACGCCAGCCTACTAAAATTTGAGATCGTTATGGTTTCTGAATTACTACAATTTGAGGTCTACACAACAGCAGTTACGCAATCGTGTCTTTCCCATAAATCATCTCTTAGTACACGAACACATAAACAAGTTCTTCAGGGAAAAAGGAGCTGATGCTGGAGGAAAATCCCAGGAAATCCTGAGTTCTCAACGCCTGTCATTCAACCCAATCTGGTCCATTTATGAAAGTAAATGAGCTGGCATCACTATGCTTTCAATTATAAAAACAAAACAAAACATGAAAAGCATGTAAACCTTGTATTTAAATGGAAAAAAGGCATACTTAGTCGTTTCTGGTTTTAAAAAGCTGCTTGTATAAGAGTTTAGCATAATCTAAATTGTGGGATATCACATAATGATCATGTAAGATTCAAAACATAGTTAGTTTTCCATTTGTTTAGGCTTAAATTGAACTTTATTAAGGCATCTGAGGGTTTCCCCCGTCCAACTGTGCCACTCACTCGGGGCTCCGCAGTCACAGCAAACATCATTTCCTATCATCCGCTTGACTTCCCCCAGTATCGCCTTGGTCAGCTCCTGCACGATGTTGTTCTCGCCGACATGATGGTCCCCTTTAAAAGCCTGATTTAACGCCTCCTCCTTACTGTTCTGTAGCACCGAGATCCAGCTGCAGGAGGGACAGAGTAAAGGATCACGGGAGACATGAGTCAGGCAGATGAAGAGAGGAAAAATGACAAAAGGACAAGCACGTGGGTAAAAACAGGCGCAGCTAAGGCAGACACGGGGGGTTCAGACTGGAGTAAAAGGGCAGTTAATGGGCATGGGGTGGGAGGTAAAGTGACTGAGTGTGTGTCAGGGAGGAAGTGTGTGGAAAGCATTGGAGGTGATAAACAGGCGCACCCACACACAAGAGGAAGGAAGGGAAAAGCACTTACATCTGACAGTCCTGGTCGTCCTCGGCCTGAAAGTGATACGTTCTGTCATCTAAAAACCAAAAAAAGAAAGGAAACAAATGATGGAATAGAAAAGATGAGCGGGAGAAAAAAACTGAAGAAGAAGAAGATCAGTCAAAGAGCTGCAGATATGCAGTAAAAAGCTTTGAGTGATTCTCTCCGGAGGGCATTAAAGTGCTCAAGTGAAAGGTCAGACTGAGGGCGCGCTGCAAAACAAAAACAAAGTACGAGTGTTTCCATCTTCACATGGGAGTTTTTTATACAACTAAATGAAAGGAAACTTAAACTGTGTTATATCCCTAAAGCCTGAAGTTTAGTCTTCATTTAAATAGCCACAAACTGCCATGTTTGTCACATGATCATCACACAGATCATCCCTCTCTCCATCCTCCTTTCCTGCCATCTCTTTATGACCAGACTTCCAAGCAAGTGTTATTTGAATATTTGTTCGCCAGAAACAAACAAAAGAAAGCAACATTGTAGCCTTTCAATCTCTCTCAGCCATGAAAGCAATTATTCGACCATCATTTTGCTCTTTGAGTCTAGTCTACACGCTGGATTCAGATGCGTCAGACGTGTTATTGTCTCTTAATCATCTCTGTTTTCTGCTGCATGGGAAATAATTGAAATCTGCTCAGCTACATAACAAATCTCGGCCAGCTGCTGCTCGAAGCCAATTAAACAGAGGCATTTGGGTTACAACAACACACTGGAGAACACAGGCGGCAGAAAGCAAAGAGAAGAGGCTGAACGTACGTGATATGAGGTCAAAACTCCGCTTCTCTTCAGGATTGTGTTTCACCTGGCAGGTGAGCAGGTTGAGTTTAGCTGGTGGCCGGTTAGCCTACGAAAGAGAGACAGATGGAGGGAGGGAAAGAAAGGAAAGGGGGAGAAGGAGAAAAATGAGAGAACAAGTGAGCAGGAGTGTTGGTTTAAGTGTATCTGACTGTTGCTGGAGCCAAACAGAACATCTGATAAGCAGCTCTGTGAGAGATGAACCGTGTCAGCGAGAGGGGTTGACCGAATCTTTAATGGGAATGAGCCGAGTGAACTGAAACTCCGAGGAGTGTTAACTTGCAGACTTTGTCCTTTGATCTGTGGAAAATGTAAATGTGCAGTTCAGTTTTTGCCTATTTGTCATATTTCAGATCATCAAAGCAATTTAAAATCAGCCGGCTGAATATAAAATGCAGTTTTTTTAAATGATAATTTAATTCAATTAAAGGGGGGGAAAAGTTATCCAAACTCACCATCCCCCTGTGTGAAAAAGCCATTGTCCTCTAAACCTAATGACCTCAATCAGAGATGGACTATTCAAAAAAATATATATATCATAATTTAACAAGGGGGCAATCACTTTTTTCCCTTCTTTTGGATAGATTTCCCCTTAAATAAATAAAAATGATCATTTAAAAACTTTAAAAAACACTGAACACACTGAAGTGCGTTAAAAGTGTGTGAAAAATGCTAAAAATTCTCTTTTGTGCTTTTTCACTGCAATGTATATGAAGACAAGCAGCAATGATGAGGCTTGCAGACAAACTAAAAGGTTTGTGTGCGTTTTCAGAAGAAAAGATGTCGTCTTGTGTTTCTTTCCACTGTTTGCTTACTGTGCCGTGTGAGATGGTGAGGAATCCATTCTTCGCTGTACACTTCCTCTTCTGCCACACTTTCCTCAACCTGCGACGCAGAGACGGCAGCGATTAGTATGTCGCGCGTACACCCGTGCAGTGAATCGGTAAAGCCTATGAAATATTTATCATTATCACATTACCACTAGCATTCACATGCATTAGTTATGACACACGGGGTGAGCATGTCTACAATAAAACAATAAAACGAATTAAAAGCCAAAATGATCTGAATCAATTATGACAAATTAATGTCATCTAGCAGGATCGCCAAAGTAACCATTGACTACTTGTTATGGACATTTTCAGCATTCAAGATGATCTGCAGACTGCTCGTTTTAAACAAAGCAAACCACACATCTTTTATTTTGCCAGCTCTTTTACTGCACGTGTGCCATCGCTCCACCAAGCCGCTGCATGAAACTGTGCAGGTAATTTTTGCACAATCTTGCTGACAAACACTCATTAGTAACCCACCAACACGAGAGAGACAGAGGTGGAGGAATAATGAGGCCTCTAAACGCCACAGCCTTCTCTGCGTTCTTCACTGAAGAAATAGTTTGTTGTGTAGTGACTCATCTGATCTTTTGAACGCCCTTTTCTAAACATACCCATCACTTTTCTTGTGAAGGTACCCGCTGCGCTCGGTGCCGTGCTCCTTGTTGCCCTGCGGCTGGTGCAGGCTGTAGGTGGTGCTCTGACGCACCTGTGAATCCTGAGGAAAAAAACAGCAAAAACACAGGCGACAAAGCAGAGCTGTCATTTCAGCAAATGAGGTGCGGAAGGCAGGAGCTACACACCGAATTAGCAAAAAACAGTATGAAGTCGAGGGGAAGCTGCACAAGCGCAAAATTGCTCTGGATTACACTGTGCTTCTGGGTCTCCTGCTCCGCGGAGGATTTTAAAGCAAATATCAATTATGTTAAGATTGCTCCTCTCAGCCTGAGTGATTTTGTGCAAATAAAGGGAAGGGAGAAAATAAGAGCTTGTACACCTTTGAAGTCAGAGTGTGCAGCAGCAGCTGGCCAAATTGTGTCATTAGCATTTTAATCTCATTAGCAATTCTTGCTGTTTTAACACATGCAGCCTGAATAGGCTTCATTTAAATACATCAGCTACCATGAAAGAGGACCCAGACTTTTTCTTTTTTTTTTTGCATATTCCTTTTTTGTGGAAACACTACGGGAAACAGAGAGGACGACTTCTGAGTGGTGGAGCGGCTTGATGTGTGCCGATATCAGCAGACACACAAAAAAAAGATATGACAGCCCCACCTCAAACTTTTCTCACTGAACGACACTGTGAGCTACTACATCGAAAACATCGAGCACTGGAAGCAACGACATCACCACAGGGAACACGAGATGCTATAGCTTTTCTTTTTTTTCCACAAATCCACTTACTCTTCTGGACTTGTTTCACAAAAGGCGGCGGCGGCAGAGGAGAGAAGAAAACAATCTTCAGATTAGACCTGAAGCTGCTGCGCTTTGCAGCATATTTAACAGTTCACTGAGCATCTAGCTGATGAGCAGTCTACCTCAGTTCATTTGGGTAGAGAAGTAAACGACTAATAGCACATGCAAGAAACAAGACAGATGTAAGAAAAGAAAAAAAGATGTGCTTCTTTTCAATTATAGTTTAGATCCCAACCCAGAGGGATAGATTAGTAATGGAGTTGTATATACATTAGTGTGTGCGTGAGTCCCAACTTAATGTCATCACTGAGAGAAGCTGAAGTTTAATGAGCAGATTTCAGCTTGTCCGGTACATCATAAAGCATTTGATCGTTTCGTTTCTGTTGTGGGTGTTACCTCCTTCTGCTCCACCTGTAACGCTGACTTGAGGACGTCTCGTAACTGAGCCAGCTGCTTCCTCTCCTCGTCCTGCACCTGCTTTATCTGTACAGACACAAGTCATGTCTAAGTCATGAAGGAAAGTTTAAGAGTGGACAAACAGGCTGGATTGAAACGGCTCTGACCGTGTGCAGATCTGTGGCCAGCTTCTCTATGGAAGGTTTGAGGTTGTCCACAGCTTTTAGACCGTCCTGAAAGAAACTGAATGACGAAGCACACAAATTTATCCCAGTGCCACAAAACAGATTTACAGTATACGTGAGTAACTTTTTCTTTGCAGTGACAGTGGATCGGGGCACTGGATTTGCCTAAATCCTAAAAATATTGTTGATATAATACATTAAAAATAACATCAACTGTGTATGCATACCTCAAACTAAATCTTTACTATTAGACAGTAAAAATATGCTTTTCATATATACTCAATTTAACCACGTGTATCAGGGGTGTCAAACATAGGGCCTAGGGGCCAGAATGGGCCTGGTAAAGACTCCTATTCAAAAGCCGCTAGATGGCTTTTGAGAATGTAAAGGAGTGCACAGATCTTGAACATTTAACCACATTTTCCTAGGTTTTACAGCCTTTTATTTAGATAAAAGGAGCCTCATCAACTAGATAAACAATTAAATAAACTTTTTTCACCTTCTGCTACATAAATGCACATGTTTTTTTTTTAACAGTGAATTTACAGAAAGGACAAAAGTTTTCTATATGATAACATAATCTTTTTATGTTATAATTACAAGACTGTCTGGATGATGATGAACTACCAGAACTTTTCTGTAATTTTACACAATGTGTCAGGTCCACTTAGCATCAAAGTAGTGCGTGGCCTACGATGTAAAATAAATTTGACGTATATAATATGCACGTCTTACTTGCACTGTGCGTGGAAATACTTGATGAGGTTCTGCAGCAGATCCACCCCCTTCTTGATCTTGATCTCATTGACTTTGAGGAGATACTGTAAACAGATTGAATCCAGATCCAGGAAGAGGGGTCAGTCCAGGTTCACACAGATGGAAAAGCAACTCTGAAGTCTGAGACTTCAAATACTCATGGACCATCTCAAATGTATACATCCCTTTCATCTCATACCCAGACACTTCAAAAGGGCAAAAATGTAATTTTTCAAGCAAGGCTTCATTAAAATGAAACATCAAAAAAGGCATTCAGCACATAAACATGCTTACATGTAATGTGATTTTTGTATTCCATCAGGCTGCGCAGTATTCAGTTTTTACCGTTACTTTGACAGAAACTGCCCTGTTTTCTCAACCCACCACTGCCTGTTATTTACTTGATAAACACTATGCTGAGTACAGGATTTCATACAATTTTAATGTTTCATTAATTCATGTTATATATATTTAAAACACTGGTAACCAAATGAAACCCGTCTCTTGATAATCGCTCCAACTAACCTCACACATCTGCAGCTGGAAGAATCTTCTCTCTTTCTCCATCTCTTCAGCGATTTCTGCCCCGCTGATTTCCGTCCTAATCATCCCATGCTGTCTCGCATGCTCCTTCTTTTCCTTTTCTATCTTGGTGCTGGCAAGAGTGACAGCGTGGCAGAGGGTGTCAAAGAGCAATCAATAGATCCATAACAGCACCGAAAGCATACAGAAGGCATAATGTGAAAAATCAGCCCTAAAGTTGTCAGGCAGTTCATGGTTGAGCTACATATAAGATGAGAAAAAGCCAGCTTTGTAAAAGTGTCAAGGCAGTAGATGGGCTTACATGAAGAAGCAGAAATTCTCTTTATTAAACTTAATGTTTAGAAACCATAGAGTGTTGATTATATTCGGCGATTTCGAGTGAAAAAAAGTTGTCTCATGACCTGAAAATATCGAGGCGAGCAATTGAAGAAGCTCCTGATAAGAGCACAGGATTGACATAACCTGGTATTAAATATGTTACTGGGTTACCTAGGCAACCGGAGCCTGAAACGTCTCCTAGAAACCATCCGTTAGCGACAAAGTGATGCTGCGTGGACGCAGATTTAGTCAAGTGCCTAAAGTTTTTGCGTAGTAAAGTATTGAGCAACACCGAGGGGCGTCGGCACAGGAAGTGATTTCCTATGTCAGTGATCCAGCCCGCTAGAGGACATTCCAGGCTCCAGTTGCCTAGGTAACCCTCTGTGAATCAACTGTATCCTTTGCTCTCATTGATGGCCGCTTCAGTCACTGGCCTCAGAGTTGAGAGATGTTCAAAAAGGCATCCATACGGGGAACGATTAACTCGCCACGCTTTGCTCTGAAGCTCAAGGGACAAGCGACGGGTGTAAAAAGGCTCGGGAATGAAGAGTGGACCGGTCCTGAGATAAACCTCTCTCAACTCCAAAGCAAGTGATTGAAGTGTCAACCAATGAGAACAAAGAATACAGCTGATGTTTGATATTCCAGGCTCTAGCTGCCTCGAATTTTCACAACTCTGTCACATGTCGCCTTGAAATTGAGAAAAGTTTAACTCGGGGGGAATGCCCACTTTGTTTTTTTACCCGTCATCATTGAATCTCTCAGACTTTCTCCGAATTTGTGATCAGCGAACTGCTTCCTTTGCAGACACCCCATTAGAAATGATCCACCAGCTATGTCAGACAATCATGATGAATTAGAAAGTAATTCTTGCAAAGCCGACTTCATTCATTCCTCAGTAATTCGAGCTGGTGTCTCATTTCGCCTTTTTTAAATCACCTTGTACTGCCAGATGTATCGTGTCCTGAAGCAAACACACCAAATGCGTAGGTGTGTCTGCACAGGAGGAACGCACGGCTCATTGCACCGATTTCACTGAGATGATAGAAAAACAAATAAATAAATAATCCAAGCTGCTTGAACAGAAGTGCCAAGAGTCAAACTGCACTAAGCTCATCAGCGCTTTTTTTGGAAGGTTTCCATAATTAGCTGAGAGCTTGTTTGGGAAATCAAACACTTGTAGTTTCTCGCTGATGACGACAATTGAGATCAGTACATAAAGCAGAAGGAATTAGAGAGCAGATGTCGACCAGGGAGAGGGGTTCGACTCAGCGATTCGATTCCACTCGGACTTTTTGCAGGATTCTTTTGTGCACGTTTTTTTTTTAGTGTTTGAGGATGATTACGTTAAAGATGATTAAGGTTAGCCATGGGTTTAGTGTACTAAAAAGGTCAGGAGTAGGACCTAAGAGACTACAAGCCAATGAGATGAGTGATTAGATTTAGATTTGTTTATACATGCTGCCTGACAGCCAGCGCTCAGAGCCGGTTTTTCCCATAAATTCTCCATCTTCCACAGGCAATCAGGACAACACAGAAAAACAACAAAGGGAGAGGGGGGTGGGGGCAACCTTTCATGCAACAGGTCATTCTTTTGGATGTGCCGCATTTTCTCACAGCATATTTTTTAAATAGTTATGCAGAAATGTGACTGAAAGCTGCGTAAGAGTCCAGCCTGTTTCATGTGCGTTAAAGTAACAAAAGTTGATTGTGTTCATGAACACAATCAACTTTTTGGGATTTCCTTACCTGGATGGATTGCGCATGCATCGAGACATTTTAGCTCACTACCTGATGTTTAACTCACTTATTAACCTTAAACTTAATATTCAAAACTTCAAATTAAGAATCTTAGCCAAAGTAAAAAAGCAACTTTAAAATTTTACTTTCAAGTCCATTAATTATTTAATTAAGTATTTACCTGGGAGGTATATGGGTGATTACTGTACATTGTTTGGTAATTATCAAACAAATGAAAAAAATAATAATTTTACTCAAAGAGTGTTACTTTCCAAAGCGAACAAAACTACTCCAATGAAATATTTTGTCTTACCTGTGACATTATGAGCTGTTTGTATTTAGTTGTACAGTCACATTTGTCTAGGTTTCATTGGAGGTACACTCACTGGATACTGTGTTTAGGTACACCTGGGTAGTATCAGGTTGGACCCCCTCTTGCTTTCAGAAGTGCCTTAAATCTTGAGGTATCAGGTCTATTGGTGCTCTACTGGACTGAGATCTGGAGGCCGTTTGAGTGCAGTGAACTCATCGTCATGGTCTGAGCTTTGTGACACGCCAC